GGAACGTAGTACGGTCGCGGCCGCGCAGCGCCTCCAGAAACAGCAGAGACAGCACCAGTACCCTCAGCTCCAGGGTCTCCAGCTACAACTCCCGCAGCACCACCAGCTCCAGTACCTCCAGCAGCTCCAGCTCCAGCAGCACCTCCAGGAGCAACAGCTCCAGCATCGACAGCTCCAACTCCTGGAGCACCACCAACCTCAGCAGCTCTAGTACCTCCAGTACGAGCACCTCCGGGACCAGCGGCTCTAGCACCTCTAGCAGCTCCAACACAAGCATGACCTCCAACAGCGCCAGTACCTCCAGCACCAGCACCTCCAGGACCAGCGGCTCCAGCAGCTCCAGCACCAGCAGCACCTCTAGCAGCTCCAGCTCCAGAAGCACCTCCAGCAGCTCCAGCACCAGCAGCACCTCCAGGAGCTCCAGCCCCAGAAGCACCTCCAGCAGCAGGCCCCGTAGCTCTAGTAGCACGGCGACAGCGCCGAGCATACCACTCACGGAGCCGCTGCAGAGAGAGGGGCTCCCGCTGTGACGGGACACCCGGAGGACCTCCAGACTCAGCACGCTCAGGCTCAGCACCCCCAGGCTCAGCACCCCCAGACTCAGCACTCCCAGGCTCAGCACCCCCAGGCTCCACACGCTCAGGCTCAGCACCCCCAGGCTCCGCACCCTCAGACTTTGCAACCCCAGGCTCAGCACCCCCAGGCCCCGCACCCGCAGGCTCAGCACCCCTAGCAGTACCAGAGTCGACAGCTACCTCGACAGGGTCTACCTGGGACACACCTGAGGGGGCAGGACCCTGAGGGGGGAGGGGGTCTACCGGAGGAGCGCCTGGTGCTAGGAAGAGTGGCGGGGGGGGGAGAGAGGCAGTGCGGTAGGGAAAGAGACGGTAGTAAGATACGGACTCATCAAATGTAACATCCTGAGAGGACAGAACACGACGCAAGGTGGGGTGGTAAAACTGCCACCCAGGTGCGTCAAGGGGGAAGCCAAGGAAGACACAGGGAATGGCACGGGAGGACAGCTTGTCCGCGGAAGTATCGCGGACAAAAGCTCGAGATCCCCAGACACGGAACACAGACGCATCGCCAACCTTCCCCGTCCACCGCAGAGTAGGTGTGGTCTCCGGCATGGAGACACGAGGCTGAAGGTTGATCTGATGCGGAGCGTACTGAACCGCGAACGGCCACAGAAAATGGGGAGCAGCCGCATGGATCATGGACGTACGAGCGACGTCCATGACCATGCCAATGCGGTGCTCAGCAATCCCATTTTGCTGTGGAGAGGCCGGAAGCGTGAACGTCTGGCGGATGCCCTCCGCACGACAGAAAGCCCTCAGAAGGTCGGAGGAAAACTCACCACCTCTGTCTGAGTGTAGACGCAGAACAGGAAGGTCCGAGCCAAAACTCTCGCTGAGCTGGCGACGGGCACCGTGGATCCAGTCGATCAACACCTCAGTGACCTCACCCTTGCGGCGCAAGGGGAAGACTGTGGTGTAACGCGAGTAGTCGTCAACGACCAGCAGGAAGTAACGCTCGTGACACTGTCCACTGACGCGGGCTGGGCCCCACACGTCCATGTGGAGAGTCTGCAGGGGAGCCTCTGTCGGAGGGAACTCGGAGGAGTGAGGAGCGGCGCGCTGTCGGCCCTCGACACAAGGAACACAGGTAGGGGCAAGCCCCGGAGGAAGGGGAGGGAGGGACCTGGGGAGACCAGAGACAAGGGTACGGGGGGCCATACCTCGAAGACGAGGCAGGGAGGGGTGACCAAGGCGGTGGTGCCAAAGGAGAGTCTCGTGCGACAGAGGACGACACGAGCAGGGGGCAGACGCAGGACTAGACCTGGACACGGCAGCAAACACCTGACTAGACGCGGCTACCTGACCAGAAGCAGAGACCGGAGGAGGCGCAGTAGTCAGTGTGTAGAGACTCGACCCAGGCCGACGGGTGAACGTGGCTAGGTGGCGGCCTGTCCGAGAGCAAGTGCAGTGGGTCACACGTTGACCTCCAGGGGTGAACTGGTCAACCCACAAGTCCTGAAGGCCAGCTCCACTCACCAAGTTCGTAGAGAACGAGGGGAGGTGGAGTCCCGATAGCAAGCCCGACGGGGCCGCAGGACACGGTAGAACCGTGGAAGAGTGCGCAAGGACTGGGCCCCCAGAGGGGTCAGCCAGGGAGACTGCGTTAGGCCGACTGAGCGGCGTGAGTGTGGTGCTGTCGCGAAAGAAGGAGCGCGAAGCACCAGAGTCAAGTGTGAAAGTGTGCAAAGCCTTAGTAGGTGTAGTACTAGAGAGAGCAGACTCACCAGCACCTGGAGCAGCAGACTCACTAGTACCTGGAGCACCAGACTCACCAGCACCTAGAGCAGCAGCCTCAATGCCCAGGTCGGGCGGAACACACCGGTAACACTCACCCTCAGCACTATCAGTCACAGCATACATGGCAGCAAGGATAGCATGAGAGACACCGGACGTGTGAACGAAAAGGGATACTCCGTCCTTAGAATCACATTGAAGAAAGAGCTGCAGGTCGTCAACCCACACGTCAAAGTCAACCGCACACCCCTCAGCATCAAAGGTAAGAACAGTAGGGCTAGCCATAGCGGCAGTAGCAGCAGTAGCAGCAGTAGCAGCAGTGGCAGCAGAAACAGCAGTAGCAGCAGGAGCAGCGCTGGCAGGGCAGTGCGGCTCAGTAGGGCGGCGCGGCTCGGCAGGGCGGCGCGGCTTTGCAGGGCGGCGTGGCTCGGTAGGGCGGCGCGGCTCGGCTCCTGGCGGCGCGGCGCGGCAGGGCGGCGCGGCTCGGCTGGGCGGTGCGGGTGCTTACCAGGGGCGGGTGCAGGGCCGCGACTGGGGCGGCAGTAGGGCAGGGCCGCCACTTGGCGGCGTCAGCGCAAGGCCGCAACAGGGCGGCAGCAGGGCAGGGCCGCGACAGGGCGGCAGTAGGGTAGGGCCGCGACAGGGCGGCAGCAGGGCAGGGCCGCGACAGGGCGGCAGCAGGGCAGGGCCGCGACAGGGCGGCAGCAGGGCAGGGCCGCGACAGGGGCGGCAGCAGGGCAGGGCCGTCACTTGGCGGCGTCAGTGTAGGGCCGCGACAGGGCGGCAGCAGGGAAGGGGGCCGCGACGGGCCGAGAAGGCAGGGGGCCGCGACGGGCCGAGAAGGCAGGGGGCCGCGACGGGCCGTTAGGGTGGGGGGCCGCGACGGGCCGAGAAGGCAGGGGGGGGGGGGGCGCGATGGGCTGTTAGGGTAGGGTCGCGACGGGCCGTTAGGGCAGGGTCGCGACGGGCCGAGAAGGCAGGGCCGCGACGGGCGGCTCTAGAACAGGGCGCGCGATGGCGCAGGTGAGGTAGGCGCGAGGCGCGCTTCGGGAAGGGCAGGAAAAAAAAATCGTGGTGGGCCCTAAAAAAAACGTTCCCGCTAGGGAACCTGCTCATAATACCATGTCAGAATAGTAAAGAACGGAATAAATGAATTAGCAAGCAGGTGGGTACAAGTAGGAAACCAAAAAGTGTTGTACCCTTTATGAACTACCCCACTACAGCTTAGACAGACTATAGCATATATGTTTGACAAACCGCTGCTGTTTTTGCATGAAAATCATGCACGATCCCACGTGTTACATGGTCGGTTGAATTCGCCTTATTGCGGGCCTCGATTTGGTACGGTATGTTTAAAAAGGAATTTTATTGTTTTCCTATTACAGGCGCTGTCAGAGGTCCACTGGTGATCCTCGATTGATCCTAGGGAAGGGTTATAGGCTCGTTGTCCTGGGGGGTTATGGGCGCACTAACCCGCTACTTAACAAGCCTTTTTATCCCAATGATCTAGTGGTTGGGATTCTGACATGGTATCAGAGCGGTCTCAGGTTCGAATCCCGGTGTATGCACATGTAGGCCGTTGCCGCTGTGCTCAGTCCTGGGCCTCCTAGTGTGGGGGGGGTGTTAGTAGATCTGCACTGTGGATGCCCGATCGATCCTAGGGAGGTTACAGGCGCGTTCGCCTTGGGGGTTATGGACGCACAAACCCTCTACACAAACAAGCCTTTTTATCCCAATGGTCTAAGTGGTTGGGATTCTGACAGGCGCATGCGCTTATAAAAATGACTCAATTAGAAGCGCACCCCCCTGAAAAACATTGTTTTATTATAAGCGCACCTGCGCTTCTATCCGGGGTAATACGGTACAATCCCAACTGAGACTTAGCGAAGGATCGCCCAAAGTTGATCGCAGGGTAGCGTTGCTGCGGAAGTGTTGACCTCATGTCAGAGTGAATATAGATGACTGAGATAATAAAATAGCATGCATTGTCAGAGGTCCACTGGTGATCCCCGATTGATCCTAGGGAAGGGTTACAGGCTCGTTATCCTGGGGGGTTATGGGCGCAGTGACCCGCTTCTTAACAAGCCCTTCTATCCCAATGGTCTAGTGACTGGGATTCTGACATGCATACCGTACATCGAGTTTATATAGGAAATACCAAGGAATACGAAACGACATAGACAAGCCATATACTCTAAGGGGTACATTCCCTTATTGCAGTGAATTCAAACCGTGCGGCGCGGGAACCCGTTTTGAACTTGTTCCCGCGCTTTTCACTTCAAATGTTTCTGCCTGCATCGATCTTCAAATGTCTCTGCCTGCATGGATCAGGCGGCACCTTTGAATCCTGGCGAGGACCTTGGTTGTCAGTACTCACGTGCTGGCGTTGTAGTGCATCATTACGAAATTGGATGTATCGGGACGAAATTTCTAGGAAACTTCGTCTCGATACGTCGAGTTTCATGAAGGGGTGGCGTGGGGGGGGGGGGGGGGGGGGGGAACCCTCGCTCTTCACTTCAGGGTATTCTTCGCTAAGGGAAATATTACCCCAGAGCATCAGTGGCCTAAATCGTTACACTGACATATTAGTGTACCGTATTACCCCGGATAGAAGCGCACCTGTGCTTATAATAAAGCAGATCTCATTGTGCGCTCTTTGCATTTCTATTCCTGCCTTCACCCGTGCTCCTACCCCTCTTTCGGCCCGGCACTGCAGATATAGTCATCGCTGCACCTGGCAGTGCGGAACCCGTGCCTCAGCCGCACAATGTCATTCGTGAATGTGGAGTGGGCTGTGCCCAGAAAGCCAGCACCCAGCGCGCACACCAGCTTCTCCAGAGTGGCGACGGCTTGCGGGGTGGTCTTGATATTGATGCCCTGTTTGGGGGGGAGGAGAAGGGGAAGGTGGTTGAAGGGAAGGGGATGTTAGTTTTGGAGGAGGAGGGTACACTAGCCCACACGTCCTGCACCTTCCCCTGCAGCTTCCCAGTGTGGAGGCGGCTTGAGGAGTGGTCTTGGAATCAATTCCCTGGGGGAGGGAGAATGGCAAGTTATGAATGAGGTCGGAGGGGGAAGAAAGACCTGAATGACGACGGAAGCACAGCAGCGGCCAGCGTGCCTGCTGCCGAGGTCGTGAATCGAATCGAAGAAAGACCAAAAACAGCCTTGGGAGGCGTTCGAACAAACTCAAAAGTCACAATGGCACCTACCTCGTGCTCCATTGGACCAGCCCTAACCAGCATTCGCCAACTTTCACCAGCCTCCACCACCCATCACCACCCTCCACCACCCATCACCACCCCTCACCACCCTTCACCAGCCTTCACCAGCATTTGCCAGCTTTGACTGTGTATAACTGTTCACATTGAGCTTCTTTTGAGAATTCTCGAACCAGTCAACCTTTAAACCTGCACAGTAACTGCTGCCAACTCACATTTTCCATAAGCGGTTGAAGCCACATGCTGCTGTCCTCTTTAGAGAGCAGATGCGCTAGCGTTACAAGCTGCACTGCACTACTGCTGCCATCTAAAGCGTCAGGACCGCTGCTGGTGTTGGCAGGTTGCTCATCATGCAGTGAAGCCTCAACTCCGCTTGAACCACCAGGCAGCATGCGCCGGGCAATCGCAGGCATCGACCGCTGAGATCGTGGATCCAACGGCTGAGATTTGCGCCCAGATGGCTGGGCAACCGCCTGCAGTGAGCGCGGTTCTTTGGGTGGCAGCGGCATCTCCTCTTGCTGGCCTCTGCTCTGGTGCTCATCTGCGAATCGACTCAACAGTCTTCTCTCAAGTGCCCCTCTAGATGGCTGTTCCTGCTCCACTGCAGCAGCCGCTGTAGCAGCAGCAGCACCAGCAGCAGCAGCAGCAGCAGCACCAACAACAGCAGTATCAGCCGCAGAAACCGTAGCTGCAACCTCCAGTGGCTGTTCTTGAGGCGTCTCAAGGAGCGTAGCTGCAATGGCCGCTACCTCGTGCGGCCGCGCGTTGGTGGCGAGGAAGACGAGAGGTACACGTGCTGCCAGGGCTGCAGCGCGCATGCACTGTGCTGCCTGTTCCACTGGGAGGAAACAGCCGTCCGATGGGTGCTGGTGGGAGGGATGGGAGGGAGAGAGAGACCGTTGGTGGCGAAGAAGACGAGAGGTACACGTGCTGCCAGGGCTGCAGCGCGCATGCACTGTGCTGCCTGGTCCACTGGCAGGAAACAGCCGTCCGATGGGTGCTGGTGGGAGGGATGGGAGGGAGAGAGAGAGCGTTGGTGGCGAAGAAGACGAGAGGTACACGTGCTGCCAGGGCTGCAGCGCGCATGCACTGTGCTGCCTGGTCAACTGGCAGGAAACAGCCGTCCGATGGGTGCTGGTGAAAGTGGTGGGAGAGAGAGCAATAGGGGTGGGGGAGAGTGAGAGGGTGGGATAGAGGGTGAGAGAAGGGAGCAAGAGCAGAGACAGGGACATGATGGTGGAGGGATGGAGAGGATGTGGTGGCGAGGAATATGAGGGGGGCATGTGCTGCGACAGCAGCAGCAGCACGCATGCACTGTGCTGCCTGATCGACTGGCAGGAAACAGCCGTCCGATGGGTGCTGGTGGGAGGGTGGGCCAGAGCAAGAGAGGGACTGGAGCGAGGAATGTCAGAGATGGGATGGGATGGGATGGGATGGGGTGGGACGGGACAGGACGGGACAGGATGGGATGGGACTTGATGGGATGGGATGGGACGGGACGGGACGGGACGGGACGGGACGGGATGGAATGGCATGGGATGGGACGGGACGGGATGGGATGGGACAAGTCGTACCTTCTTGCGGCAGTAGTCCTTGAAGTCGCCCCTCCTGAATTGCACTGCCAGGAACTGGCCGCTGAGCAGATGGCGCTGCACTATGTGCCGCGCTGCTGCTATGAGCGGCTCAGGGGGCTGAGGGGATGGGAGAGGGGAGAGAGAGGGGAGAGAGAGGGCACATGGAAAGAGAGGAGGGAGAGAGGGAACCATCATTGAGCACGTGACTATGTGTCAAGCTGCTGCTGTAAGTGGTTAGGGGGGCTGGAGTGAGAAGAATAAGAGGAAAGCAGAGAAGAACTGGAAGTAGTTTTGAATTGGTGGTTTCTTCTGGGACATATGCTGCTGCTGTGAGCTGCTGAGGGGGACTGGCAGGAGGAAGCAGGGAGGGTAGTGGGTGCGGGAAAAGGTGGAAGACATGAAGATGCTATGGAGAACAGAAGAAGAGAGTAGTGGGAGCTAAGAAGAAGCGAGGGGTAGAGAGTTTGGGTGGTTGTGAGTAAAATGAGGGGGAGGGAAGGCAAGGAAGTTCTGGAGAGCAAGAGAAGGATGGAGGAAAGAGGCAAAGACGTGACAGCTGCCCTTGCTGAGATGATTCAGGTGTTGATTCGAATTAACAAATAGCAAGTTCTCTCTCACCCGGATGGCTGGAGACGCGAGGCATGTGTCTCGCGGCACCACCTTGGCAGGCTTGGCCCTACCCCTCTGCTTGCCCGGTGGTGAGGGCAGCAGGAACGGGAGGTCCATGGGGGCGAGCATGCGGAAGAAGATGGAATCCGTGATGGGTTGCTGTGGGAGGGGGGAGGGGGGTAGGGAGTGAGGAAGAGGCATGGGGTGCGATTTGAAAGGGGTGAAGGGACCAAGGAAGCAGGAACGGGAGGTCCATGGGGGAGAGCATTTGGAAGAAGATGGAATCCGTGATGGGTTGCTGGTGTTAGAATTACGCTGTCAACACATTTGTGTACTCTATTTATATTGTGTGTGTAGGGTATTTGTAGGTTGGGTGTAGATTTGTTATCCCAACCTTATCTGGTTGGGATCCCCCTGTAATCCAACAAGTCTGCCAACTCATCATTGGAGATTTGCTTGGATTCCCAACCCATCCATTCCCTTAGCCCTACCCAACCCAACTCTGCTTGTACTTAAGGCCTAGTGCCTTCTATTCTAATCAATAAGTTCAAGCTCCATGTCTAACAGCTGGAGGGAGAAGGGGGAGAGGGCAGGCGGTGGGGAGGAGGGGGACATGTGTGAGAATGCATGGAAGGGAAGAGGACACAGAACAGAAGGAATGGGAGGTCCATGGGGGAGCTTTTGAGTCAACTCAAAAGCATGGGGGAGAGCATGCATGCGGAAGAAGATGGCATCCGTGATGGGTTGTTGCTGGGGGGGTGGGGGAGGGAAAAATAGGACCATGGGGATGGGACGTACACAAAGGTTTACACCATGGAAGGGGGGAGATACTATGTATCGGCATCATGGGCCATATCAGGTGGCATCACACATCATGAGGTGGCATCATGAGGTGGCATCAACAGGCACAGTGGTCATAGAGAGAGTGACAGAGGGACGCACCTTCTTGAACTCGCCAATCACCAGCACACCGTTCGGCACTCGGCTGTACACCTTGAGGAACGCTGCCAGGAGAGGTTGAGATGGGTGCGGTTGAGAGGAGAGCGGTTGAGAGGGGTGTGGGTGATATGGGTGTAGTTGGGTGGGATGGCATGATATGGCATGGCATGGTAATGCATGTTGAAAAGGCAGAGGGCAGCACATGACAAGGTTCATGACAAGGTTCAAGACAAGGTTCATGACAAGGTTCATGACAAGGTTCATGACAAGGTTCAAGGCAAGGTTCATGACAAGGTTCAAGACAAGGTTCATGACAAGGTTCATGACAAGGTTCATGACAAGGTTCATGACAAGGTTCAAGACAAGGTTCATGACAAGGTTCATGACAAGGTTCAAGACAAGGTTCATGACAAGGTTCAAGACAAGGTTCATGACAAGGTTCATGACAAGGTTCAAGACAAGGTTCATGACAAGGTTCAAGACAAGGTTCATGACAAGGTTCATGACAAGGTTCATGACAAGGTTTATGACAAGGTTCATGACAAGGTTCAAGACAAGGTTCATGACAAGGTTCATGACAAGGTTCATGACAAGGTTCATGACAAGGTTCATGACAAGGTTCAAGACAAGGTTCATGACAAGGTTCAAGACAAGGTTCATGACAAGGTTCATGACAAGGTTCATGACAAGGTTCATGACAAGGTTCATGACAAGGTTCATGACAAGGTTCATGACAAGGTTCAAGACAAGGTTCATGACAAGGTTCAAGACAAGGTTCAAGACAAGGTTCATGACAAGGTTCATGACAAGGTTCATGACAAGGTTCAAGACAAGGTTCATGACAAGGTTCATGACAGGGTTCATGACAAGGTTCAAGGCAAGGTTCATGACAAGGTTCAAGACAAGGTTCATGACAAGGTTCATGACAAGGTTCATGACAAGGTTCATGACAAGGTTCAAGACAAGGTTCATGACAAGGTTCATGACAAGGTTCAAGACAAGGTTCATGACAAGGTTCAAGACAAGGTTCATGACAAGGTTCATGACAAGGTTCAAGACAAGGTTCATGACAAGGTTCAAGACAAGGTTCATGACAAGGTTCATGACAAGGTTCATGACAAGGTTTATGACAAGGTTCATGACAAGGTTCAAGACAAGGTTCATGACAAGGTTCAAGACAAGGTTCATGACAAGGTTCATGACAAGGTTCATGACAAGGTTCAAGACAAGGTTCAAGACAAGGTTCATGACAAGGTTCATGACAAGGTTCAAGACAAGGTTCATGACAAGGTTCATGACAAGGTTCATGACAAGGTTCATGACAAGGTTCATGACAAGGTTCATGACAAGGTTCATGACAAGGTTCATGACAAGGTTCATGACAAGGTTCATGACAAGGTTCATGACAAGGTTCATGACAAGGTTCATGACAAGGTTCATGACAAGGTTCATGACAAGGTTCATGACAAGGTTCATGACAAGGTTCATGACAAGGTTCATGACAAGGTTCATGACAAGGTTCATGACAAGGTTCATGACAAGGTTCATGACAAGGTTCAAGACAAGGTTCATGACAAGGTTCATGACAAGGTTCAAGACAAGGTTCATGACAAGGTTCATGACAAGGTTCATGACAAGGTTCATGACAAGGTTCATGACAAGGTTCATGACAAGGTTCATGACAAGGTTCATGACAAGGCTCATGACAAGGTTCATGACAAGGTTCAAGACAAGGTTCAAGACAAGGTTCAAGACAAGGTTCATGACAAGGTTCATGACAAGGTTCAAGACAAGGTTCAAGACAAGGTTCATGACAAGGTACAAGGTTCATGACAAGGTTCATGACAAGGTTCAAGACAAGGTTCATGACAAGGTTCATGACAAGGTTCATGACAAGGTTCATGACAAGGTTCATGACAAGGTTCATGACAAGGTTCATGACAAGGTTCATGACAAGGCTCATGACAAGGTTCATGACAAGGTTCATGACAAGGTTCAAGACAAGGTTCAAGACAAGGTTCAAGACAAGGTTCATGACAAGGTTCATGACAAGGTTCAAGACAAGGTTCAAGACAAGGTTCATGACAAGGTTCAAGACAAGGTTCATGACAAGGTTCATGACAAGGTTCAAGACAAGGTTCATGACAAGGTTCATGACAAGGTTCAAGACAAGGTTCATGACAAGGTTCATGACAAGGTTCATGACAAGGTTCATGACAAGGTTCATGACAAGGTTCAAGACAAGGTTCATGACAAGGTTCATGACAAGGCTCATGACAAGGTTCATGACAAGGTTCATGACAAGGTTCATGACAAGGTTCAAGACAAGGTTCATGACAAGGTTCATGACAAGGTTCATGACAAGGTTCAAGACAAGGTTCATGACAAGGTTCATGACAAGGTTCATGACAAGGTTCATGACAAGGTTCAAGACAAGGTTCATGACAAGGTTCAAGACAAGGTTCATGACAAGGTTCAAGACAAGGTTCATGACAAGGTTCATGACAAGGTTCAAGACAAGGTTCATGACAAGGTTCATGACAAGGTTCATGACAAGGTTCAAGACAAGGTTCAAGACAAGGTTCATGACAAGGTTCATGACAAGGTTCAAGACAAGGTTCATGACAAGGTTCATGACAAGGTTCATGACAAGGTTCATGACAAGGTTCATGACAAGGTTCAAGACAAGGTTCATGACAAGGTTCATGACAAGGTTCAAGACAAGGTTCATGACAAGGTTCATGACAAGGTTCATGACAAGGTTCAAGACAAGGTTCATGACAAGGTTCATGACAAGGTTCATGACAAGGTTCATGACAAGGTTCATGACAAGGTTCATGACAAGGTTCATGACAAGGTTCATGACAAGGTTCAAGACAAGGTTCAAGACAAGGTTCAAGACAAGGTTCATGACAAGGTTCATGACAAGGTTCAAGACAAGGTTCATGACAAGGTTCATGACAAGGTTCAAGACAAGGTTCAAGACAAGGTTCATGACAAGGTTCAAGACAAGGTTCATGACAAGGTTCATGACAAGGTTCATGACAAGGTTCAAGACAAGGTTCATGACAAGGTTCATGACAAGGTTCAAGACAAGGTTCAAGACAAGGTTCATGACAAGGTTCATGACAAGGTTCAAGACAAGGTTCATGACAAGGTTCATGACAAGGTTCAAGACAAGGTTCATGACAAGGTTCATGACAAGGTTCATGACAAGGTTCATGACAAGGTTCATGACAAGGTTCATGACAAGGTTCTTGACAAGGTTCATGACAAGGCTCATGACAAGGTTCATGACAAGGTTCAAGACAAGGTTCATGACAAGGTTCAAGACAAGGTTCATGACAAGGTTCATGACAAGGTTCAAGACAAGGTTCATGACAAGGTTCAAGACAAGGTTCATGACAAGGTTCATGACAAGGTTCAAGACAAGGTTCATGACAAGGTTCATGACAAGGTTCATGACAAGGTTCAAGACAAGGTTCATGACAAGGTTCATGACAAGGTTCAAGACAAGGTTCATGACAAGGTTCATGACAAGGTTCATGACAAGGTTCATGACAAGGTTCATGACAAGGTTCAAGACAAGGTTCAAGACAAGGTTCATGACAAGGTTCATGACAAGGTTCATGACAAGGTTCATGACAAGGTTCATGACAAGGTTCATGACAAGGTTCATGACAAGGTTCAAGACAAGGTTCAAGACAAGGTTCATGACAAGGTTCATGACAAGGTTCATGACAAGGTTCATGACAAGGTTCAAGACAAGGTTCATGACAAGGTTCAAGACAAGGTTCAAGACAAGGTTCATGACAAGGTTCATGACAAGGTTCAAGACAAGGTTCATGACAAGGTTCATGACAAGGTTCATGACAAGGTTCATGACAAGGTTCATGACAAGGTTCAAGACAAGGTTCATGACAAGGTTCATGACAAGGTTCATGACAAGGTTCATGACAAGGTTCAAGACAAGGTTCATGACAAGGTTCATGACAAGGTTCATGACAAGGTTCATGACAAGGTTCATGACAAGGTTCAAGACAAGGTTCATGACAAGGTTCATGACAAGGTTCAAGACAAGGTTCATGACAAGGTTCATGACAAGGTTCAAGACAAGGTTCATGACAAGGTTCATGACAAGGTTCATGACAAGGTTCATGACAAGGTTCAAGACAAGGTTCATGACAAGGTTCAAGACAAGGTTCATGACAAGGTTCATGACAAGGTTCAAGACAAGGTTCATGACAAGGTTCAAGACAAGGTTCATGACAAGGTTCATGACAAGGTTCATGACAAGGTTCATGACAAGGTTCATGACAAGGTTCATGACAAGGTTCATGACAAGGTTCAAGACAAGGTTCATGACAAGGTTCAAGACAAGGTTCAAGACAAGGTTCATGACAAGGTTCATGACAAGGTTCATGACAAGGTTCATGACAAGGTTCATGACAAGGTTCATGACAAGGTTCATGACAAGGTTCATGACAAGGTTCAAGACAAGGTTCAAGACAAGGTTCAAGACAAGGTTCATGACAAGGTTCAAGACAAGGTTCAAGACAAGGTTCATGACAAGGTTCATGACAAGGTTCAAGACAAGGTTCAAGACAAGGTTCATGACAAGGTTCATGACAAGGTTCAAGACAAGGTTCATGACAAGGTTCATGACAAGGTTCAAGACAAGGTTCATGACAAGGTTCATGACAAGGTTCATGACAAGGTTCATGACAAGGTTCATGACAAGGTTCATGACAAGGTTCATGACAAGGTTCATGACAAGGTTCATGACAAGGTTCATGACAAGGTTCATGACAAGGTTCATGACAAGGTTCATGACAAGGTTCATGACAAGGTTCATGACAAGGTTCATGACAAGGTTCATGACAAGGTTCATGACAAGGTTCATGACAAGGTTCATGACAAGGTTCATGACAAGGTTCATGACAAGGTTCATGACAAGGTTCATGACAAGGTTCATGACAAGGTTCATGACAAGGTTCATGACAAGGTTCATGACAAGGTTCATGACAAGGTTCAAGACAAGGTTCATGACAAGGTTCATGACAAG